GGAGCTAATAAAGTAAATCCTGCTGTCACAACAAGATGTTTGAGGAAGCAGCTGGAGGAGATGAACAACAAATGCTTTTCATTTGCAAAGTTTATGTCAAACTACTTGTGGTGGAATGGTAGAAGACATGTTTCTGTGGATTTTCTAAAAAATAAATGTTAGTAAGCAAGTCTGACATTCATAAGAATCCATCAGATTCACAAAGACATCTGAATGAATGGACTCATGATTGCAGAGTGCACCACTTGCCACTGTTTGAGCTGCTGAATCATTTATGGAATAGCTGGTGCCAACGAATCACGTGCTCTGTGTGCTAGACCTTCTCCAGAAGATGTGACTGCAGACATAAGTCACGTCCCATTTCAGCACGTTCAGGCAGTTCAACGATGGCCGCCTGCAGTCTATGAGTCTGACGCCCAGATAAAAGACAGCATCATGACAGTGGTCATTTAATCTTAACGCTTATTAAAGAGCTAATGTTCAAAGGTCAACAAAATATCTCTCTGAGCTACAATTGGACAGAAGATCCACGTGGACTGATGGTGATAATAGTGTTTGCACAGCAAAGATGCCATTCATCCATCTTCTGCTCATTAAGACCGGGTTGTGGGAGCAAAGCTTTAGCAGACCTCTCCCTCTCAGCCTCTGAGACTCTGAGTCATTCCCAGGCCCAGCCCATTTCTGGGTCTTCCCCGAGCTCTGCTCCCAGCAGGACACGTCTAAAACACGTCTCTTGGGAGGTATCCTTACCAAAAATCTCTTTAACTGTAGAAGCAGCAATTGTCCCTCAAGCAGCCAAGCTGTTCCTCTCATGAGGGTAAGTCCAACCACTCAAATTCAGGAGAGGGATCGGGGTTAATCTTTGAGGATGTTTACTGCTCACCTTGAGAGACTTGATGCTGGAGAGCATGGCTTGGCCCAGCCTTACATTTCTGAGCGGTTCACTGTTCAAGCTCCTGTCAGAACCATGAGGTCTTTAACATGCTGCTGTTAGAGTCTTAACCAAGAAAACCGAGCGCATCCCTCCTGTCCTTAAATCTCTACACTGGCTACCAGTAAACTAGAATTGATTTCAAAGTGCTACTACTAGTTTATAAATCCCTTATGGGCATGGGGTCAGAAAACATGTCAGATCTCCTTCCTGTATGTACGCCCATCAGGGCTCTGAGATCCTTAGAACCGGGTCAGAACCAAATAGGGTGAAGCTGCTTTTAGCTACTATGCTGCTCAGATAAGTGATCAAATAAGTAATCATCTTCCTCATGACCTCAGATGTGCTCCAACTCTAGTAACTTTTCAATCAAAATAGAAACATTTCATGTATTCCTCAGCCTTTCTGATGCTGCACCTTCTGCACTGTAACTGCTCTTTGCCTTAATACTTTACTTATTTTATTTCTTTATTTCTAATTGTATTTGTGTATTTTAAAACACATTTTTAAGTATGCAGTTTTAGGGTTAGGGTTGAAATGTGCGTTATGTATAAAGCAGCCTTGCCTAATAACTCCTAAGACTTGTTTAAAGACTGCGATGGACTGGCTCTCTGTCCTGGGTGTACCCTGCCTGATTGCCCACATGCCTATTTGATCTAATGCAGGTTGACTTGAGCATCTTTATTTATTTTTATCCTAATTCATTTGTGATGAATTGTTCATAAAGTATTTTTTTAGCTATCACTAAGCTTGTACTTGTGCATTTCAATTCACCTACTTCACCTCCGTTCTTTGGACTGTTGTGGCGCTTGTGTCTCTGTCTTGTGCGGCACTTTGAGGTAACTCTGTAAACGTGCTAAAGACGTGTGTGAGGTCACTGAGGTTGTTGCAGGTGTAGTATTGGTTTGAATGGTATGTCAAACATCTGTAAATCTGGATGATGTTTTTATAAAAGTCAAAATAATTGCCAAAAAAACTGCTGAGAAGAGCTTACCCTGCATTTCAAATGTTTTTAGGACTCGCATTTAAAATCTTAGAATGTGGACTTGACGTGAGAATCACGTCTTGTGGCTTGACTTGACTCAGGACTCGTCGAAAGACTCGAGACTCATTTGTGACTTAAAGTCTGGTTCTATTCCCAGCCAACAGGGGTTCTCTTCAGACTGCATCACTGCCCTTTGTAGACAGTGTAATCCGCTTGGCCCCAGAGGTCCAGGACCTCTGGAATGAACATCAGCACCTCTAAGCCTGACACCATGGTGCTCATTCAGGAAAGGATGAATTTCTGACTCCAGGAAAGAGCCATTGGTCCAGGTAGAGGGTGTAAAGTAGCTTAAATGAGGGCAGAAAGAAAAAGCAGATGTTGCAGCTCAAAAACTCCGACAATACCAAAGGTAGATCCTGTTTCTAATAAGGATGTGAGAGACTTAAAACAGCCCATGTTACTAAACTACCATTTAGTTATTACATCCCCTCATTTAATGAGATCCCCACATCCTTTAGGAGAGTTCAGATACTCCATCTGATGAGATGTTGATTTACGTTTTGTTTTTCATGCATGAAGGGAAAGCAGGTGATGCAAGAGTTGCACAGCAAAGGAGATAACCAACACAATAGCAGCTGGACAACGAGCAAAATGTCAAGTACCCCAGCTCATTATAGCATCTGATATTCCAGCTTTAATCTCAGGATGTGTTTATGCTGCCTCAGGGGGCCCTGATGAATCCCTCTGATGCTTTACAGCCTTCATGCTGAGCTGCCTGATGGTTCTACTCATCCATCTTTAATCTTCCTCTCCTTATACCTACCCACCCAGGCTTTCTCGTGTTCATCTTATTATTGTGATATTTAATGGGAAAAAATACTTTAATCCAGAACTGAGGTTGGTTTATTTTTTATTTATTCCTTCATTTGACCAGGTGAAAAAATGTATGGAGATATCAGATCTCATGAGTGACCTGCTCCAGGCAGCTCAAAGACAAAGTTCACAAAGCCAAATGAAAACATGAAGTCGCACAATGAAAACAACAGAAGTATAAATGTTTGACAAGTTAGCATGCTTCAGTAAAGCAGCTACATTTGCTCAGACTCGCTTTCTTAATGTTTTAAAAGTGATTTCAATTCACCCAATGAAATCTGTCTTGAAATCTTTTTGTCCTTCTGAAGATGATTGAAAAAGCAGAGCTATGTTATTAAAGGCACTTTAACAATATTACTCCATTTAACTTTAATGTTTGAATGTCTGAAAAATATAAACCAAATGAAATCATGAAAACTTTAAAGATGATGGAGAGACTGACTTTTGCCGATAGAGTTGTTAAAACCTTTTAGATGAAAATAATTTTCTAGCAGATTGTTGCGCTTTGGGGAAGGATTACCATGTACAATGTCGCCCTCTGGTGTTCAAATGCTAAATTGCAAATCAGTGTAGAATAAAAAAGATCAGCCAACAACACTAACTGTAAATCTATCAATCAATCAGTACGTCTGTCTGTCCTTGCTTATAGTTTCATGGTGAACAAATCTAACTGTTAAACTGTTACTTGCTAACATCTGTGCAAAAACCTGAATTTGTTTTAATGCACAATTGCCACAATAGATACATGTGTTGAAAAACTGCTTGATTTATTTAACAAAAACTACAGACTACAGTTTTTTTCAATCACTTAACAATTTTCACAACATTGATGTCTTTTTTCATAACTCTAGACACAAAACTCATAACGGCCATCACTTGCAACACAGGCTGTCCGCTGTTCAAAACGCTGCATGGTGCATTCACACGTTTAAAGACATCTTGCACTTACACAAGCATCGGTTCAAAAAACAAATTTAGTGTGAAATACCATTGAAACAAAACTCTAGATCACACACAAGTAACCCGTAGTTTCAGTAAGTGATTGTTTGAACAATCATTTAATATTGTACAACAAAATAGGTGATACAGGCTTCATAATTCAAAGATTCAACGTTTTTACTATCATATGCAAAGAGAAAGTTGAACAATGTTTTTCTGCATAACATTATTACTTTGCTGCCTACAGTAGATGCCAAAACAAAAAAAGTAGAAACAAAAAGATGTAAACAAATCTACAAGCTTACGACTCTACCTTGCAGAACAAGTCCACATGTACAGTCCACAGATCTCTGGGAAAATACTGCAGTAGAAGAGAGAATACTACAGAGAGTGGAATCAACAAATTCTGAAATATATTGATCCACAACACGACAGTGCAGTCAAACTGTAACATAGGTTTATTTGAATCAAAGCAAAAATACAGTAATTATACTAGTTGTAGAAACAAAATCAAATGCTGTGTGTCTCAGCTTTCTATCTTGTACTGTAATACAGTAAATAAAGCAGTGATTACTCCACTTCTATATGCTCATCAACTCTGTGTTGTGGATTTGGCCACAGGTTCTCAACCACCTCTCAGAAGGCGGGCCTGTCTTCTGCCATTCCTTTGACCAACACATTTTCCTCTTCGTTCTCCTCCCACCACTGCTTGACCTCTGTTGTAACCTGGTTCCAAATCCCCTCTTTATATACTCATTCCACAGTGTGCATCCAATCATCAGTAACGAGTTGGCAGAATTGGACAGCAAATTACAAATGAACCTATTGTTTGATTGTTTGTCTTTATCCATACAGCATTGAGAGTATTGCAACAGTTACTTATCATTGTGAGTAGTTAGATCATTGAAAGGAAAGGAATATATACTGTGTAATGTGTGAACTGCATTTTGAAATAGTAGTACTTTGATGTAAAGTAGTGTCAAATTGAACCACTGGTTGTTAAATGAACAAATGATCTAAGTTGTGTGTGTGTGGCATCCAAGCAGTTGAGAAACGGGGGAGAGTTTAGACAAAATGTGCATTTTGATCATTGGTTGTGAGTTTTCTTGTCTAGAGTTGTGAAAAAATACATCAGTGTTGTGAAAATTGTTGCAAAGTGATTGAAAAAACTGTAATCTGAAGATTATCCTGGGTGAGCAGCTGTTTCTGACTGACCTGGGAGACCTGTTTTGTAGTAACCCTCTATGACCAGCAGGTGGCAGCAGAGAGCAGCTCTGACTGGATGTCTCCCAGATTTCCCCCCATGGGAATTTTTTTCCACTCCCAGACTCAGATTACTTTTTCTGGGTGTTGCCTGTCTGGTTGGGAGTTTCACCGGGAGTTGCTTCTGTAAGAAGGAAACAGTCAGACCTTTCTGCACCGTTATTTTACTGTTTTTATTACTGACTCCGAGCTGGTTTCTTTAGTTGAGTTGGACTTTCAGGTAACACAAGAAGAAGAGGACTGATTGATTTCAGCCACTTGACCGAAGGTTGATCCGTCCGATGCAGGCCATCAAGTGTGTGGTGGTGGGGGACGGGTGAGTTTATTCTAGTCTCTATTTTACCTCTACTATTAAAAAATAGACTCATATGTTAACAAATAAAGTCTAGCTCGGCTGTTGCGGCTTAACCCAGTTAGCAACAGTTGACTAGTGGCTAACAGTGACAGCTGCTGTTGTCCAGCTGGGTCAGATTTAGTCCATGTTCTGGTTCTGAACGTTTATCACACAGGGCTGCTGTCTGGGAAGGAAACCCGGAGCTTTAGTACTTAAACTTTAAGTTAAAGTTTGCGCGTTTTAAATCTGTTTTATAAACAATAAAGCCTGAGCAGCTTGTGGAGTTGCTGTTTTATCTGCTAACAACCTTCAGTAATAACTCTGGTCTAAATAACTAGACAGCCACTCCAGTCAGGTCAAAACACTTTTACACACTTTTCTTTATTGCTCTGTTATACATATACATGTATATGTATAACAGAGCATATATTGTAATTTATATTTATATATATATATATATATATATATATATATATATATATATATATATATATATACATACACACACATATATATATATACACACACACACATATATATATATATATATATATATATATATATATATATATATATATATATATATATATATATATATATATATATATATATACACACACACATATATATACCATAAATGTTGTCAAAAGCATAATAACCTATGCTATGTACAGTCAGTGTGCATTTATTTAGATAGATTCAGAGACGTGAATCAAAACTGAAAGTATTTATTTTCACAGAAATTGTCTGTTTATATGAATATTATTGACTCATGTTAGGACTACAGGTGTTTATTTTTATTATTATTGTATTTTTTAAGTATTGTATTTATTTTTTTGCTGATTTATTTTCATAGTCGTTTATTATTATTATCATTATTACAATTTTAATTGTTTTGTTTTGAATTCATTTTTTCCTATCATTCTAAGTATAAAATAGATTTTTTAAATAGGGTAGGCATCAAAAGCTAGGCTTCAGCCCACACCTTTTGGTTATTCTACTTGTAATCCTTGTATTATTGTGTTTTTTTTCTCTTCTTATCTTTAAAATAACCAAGTAAACAATGTGGATTGATTGATTATTTAAAGGAAAAGTAACATTTTCAAGTCAGAATAAATGTTTGGTACAGGGACAAAGATTTTCTCTAGATTTTAGTGCTAAAGTGTTGCAGTTCCAGGCTGTAGTGAGGTTGTTTCCATGGTTCCTTTAAGGAAGTCATCATCCTATTTTGAAACTATGGAAACTTCTGAAATTACTGAGGAAGTGGCTTATTTTACATGTCAGGACCTGTGATGTTGATGTAGGTTTTCTGGTCAGATAGGTGTGTGGCAGCTCGTTATTTATTATTACTGATCAGTGAAAGTCAAAATCACATACAGTTATAAGTACCCCCCCCCCCCCCCCCTTTTTTTTTTTAAATCAAACTTTAGTTTAAACCTTTTGGTGTTGATCACTGTACATATATTTTATATAGGGCAAAAGTTATGGTGTGACTAAATGAGACTCAGGATTCCCCAGAAATCGTTACCAGAACTTCCAGCTCGCTCTGTAGCATTTACTCTAAGGTCTAAGCCAGGGGTGTCAAATATGCGGCCCACGGGCCGGATTTAAACTGTGTGCGGGACTGATCCGGCCCGCGGGCCGCATATTTGACACCCCTGCTGTAGGTAGAAAAGCAGGTCCGGTTTGCTGAAGCTTGTAGCTCCTTTTCAGCCTTGTGCTAGCTCTAGGTAGTCAACATCAAAATATTAAATTCCAATGTTGCTCATAAGCTGTTAACGTTCATTTGTACAACCAGATTAGTCCTTATTGTTTGTAAATGATCTGGGCAGTTCAGCTGCTTCTACAGCAGAAGATGTTGGTTAAACGGTGAGTTGATGCACTACAGTCCTAATGTTCACCTCCATAAATCAGTTCAAACTCTGAAAACATGTAACATTAAAGAGTAAAGCTGGAAAACGGGCTCTCTTTATTCTCTCTCAGGGCTGTGGGGAAAACATGCCTGCTCATCAGCTACACCACCAACGCCTTCCCTGGAGAATACATCCCTACAGTGTAAAACACACACACACACACACACACACACACACACACACACACACACACACACACACACACACACACACACACACACACACACACACACACACACACACACACACACACACACACACACACACACACACACACACACCAATAAATAGGACATAAGATCTGACTTTTATTTTTTCTCGGCAGCTTTGACAACTACTCTGCTAATGTGATGGTTGACGGGAAGCCGGTGAACCTGGGTCTGTGGGACACAGCGGGACAGGAGGACTACGACAGACTCCGCCCGCTGTCCTACCCACAGACGGTGTGTCCATTATCACGCGAACGCTGTCTCCACTTAGACTTGGAGTTATTCTTGGAGCTATGAAGCTTTAAACAAAGTGGTTACTATGGAAACGAGGCCTGTCCTCTCAGCGCAGCAGAGCCTGGTGTCCATTGTACCGATACGCTGTCTAAAGGAGGTTAAATGATTGTCTCTGGAATAGCACGCCCACTGTTTTAGTGTTCATCTAGGGAATGTGTTAGCTTTACATAATTTGTATTATTGTGTTAACCATCATATTTCTGACCCATTTTAGTGTTAAAATGTTAACATTAGTGTCAGGGTCCATTCATGTTTTTGTCCTTTTTCTTCCCCAGGATGTGTTCCTCATTTGTTTTTCACTCGTTAGTCCGGCTTCCTTTGAAAACGTTCGTGCCAAGGTGAGGGCAGCCCTGTTCAAATCAGCCTTACGTTATCTTTTAATGTAAATTGAAATATTCCACAGCACATTAATTCCTCGGCTGATAAGCTCCTCCTCCTGAAACGGCAGCAGCTGGATAGGAACAAAACATGTTGACTTGTCAGGTAGAGCTTACTGAAAGAAAAAGGAATCTGTGAATAAAAGGTGTTACAGATGAATGAAGTTCGCTCTACTGGTTAGTTTATGTAGTTATGTTGGAGGAAAAATCAGTGTAGCTCACTAAACCAACCTGACCACCGTCAGATGACAGAATACTTAATTATAGACCTAAAATGAGCAGATGCATCGAAGTGGAATGTAATACTGTGTACCCTAATGGTGTCGTCACAGTAAACAAATAAGGTTCTTCTCAACCTGAAGTCACAACCTCTGTTCTCCTCCATCAGTGGTACCCAGAGGTGAGACACCACTGTCCTAAGACACCAATCATTCTGGTGGGCACTAAGCTGGACCTGAGAGATGACAAGGACACGATTGAAAAGCTCAAAGAGAAGAAACTCTCTCCCATCATCTATCCTCAGAGTTTAGCCCTGGCTAAAGAAATAGGTCTGTGTATTAATGTTCTAATGAAGATATGGTTTCCTTCTGCCACATGTCAATGGTAAATGACCTGTATTTGATATAGAGCCTTCTAGAGTCATAGAACCCCCCCCACAAGGCACTTTGCAACACACACACACACACACACACACACACACACACACACACACACACACACACACACACACACCCTGGTGGTGATGAGCCCTAGCCACAGCTGCCCTGGGGCACACAGACAGATGTGAGGCTGCCGTGCACAGGCTCCACCGGTCCCTGTGGCCACCACCAGCAGGCAACATGGGCTAACTGACTTGCCCAAGGACACAACAGCAACAGACTGAGCGGGGCTCGAACCTGCAACCTTCTGATTACGGGGCAGAAACTTAACTCTTCTGCAACAGTCTTTCACAGCAGTCTGTTCTCCTGTTTTTGGCTGTAGGAGACTGGAAGTTTATTTTCTCTTAACTTCTGGCCTAGTGAGGAGTTAAATGATAGTTTAGTTCTAATCCCATATTGGTAAATACTGGTTGGTTTTGACACATTGTCCTGATTTATGTTGGTAACCAGGTGCAGTAAAATACCTGGAGTGCTCAGCTTTGACTCAGCGCGGCCTTAAGACTGTGTTCGATGAAGCCATCAGGGCTGTCCTGTGTCCCCAGCCTGCCAACAAGCCCAGTAGGAGGAAGTGTAACATTCTGTAACAGAGATCCATGGAGAACTGAGGAAAAAAAAAAAAAAACCAAAAGAACACAATGCAGTCAGAACTCACCCTTCCTGATGAGTGGCGAAGACTACTGGGCTCCTTCAAGCACGTTTTTTCCCATGTCGTCTGTAACATGAACCCCTTTCACACCAAGCCTGAGACTACTACTTCCTGCTCCTGTGTCGGAGTGGGCGGACCGAGGAGGATCTGGCACTCGTATGCCTGTGATGTAGGAGTAGTGGTAGTCACAGAGCAGAGTTGGTGAGTAGGTGGACACCTGCAGACCGTTCTACAATAACGCTGCTGTGGGACTTGACCAAAGATGGCTAACAGTGTGAAAGGAGCTGTAGAAGCTGTTAGAACCCACTTCCATCTAAAATGACTGTAAACATTTATAAAATAATTCCTGCAGGCTTTTGACTGACATATCCTGAACAGTGTTTTAGATGTTTTTATGGTCCAACACTTCCTGTTTGTACATGTTTACACCCCTGTTCTGTGTGTAATGCAGCTCAGATTTATTAAACATGTATATGTAAAGACATTCTGATTGTTCAGTTTTATCGGGGATTATAAATGTTGGATTTGATCAAACAAGAGTGTTGGGTTTAATTTTCATTTTATATTGTTCATTCTTATCGTGTGTATGTAATGTCCAGTGACAAATTACTCAGATGGATTTAACTCCTTGAGGTATTGGGAGTTTAGTGACATAGACAGGAAGGGGGTGGGGGGTGGGGGGGTGCTTCTAGTCAGAGTTCTTATAATAATAATACTTTCTAGGTAGCTGACCGGAGCTAAGGCCGCAGGGTGGTTGCTGCCTGATGTGGCGGCAACCCATGAAGCCGCCGGTGGACACCGGTGGTTAGGGATGCTGTCAAGCTGACAAAGTCCTATTGGGTCCTCTTGGCCTGTGGGACTCCAGAGGCAGCTGATGGGTACCGGGAGTCCAAGCGGGATGCGGCTCAGGTGGTCACTGAGGCTAAAACCTGGATGTGGGTGGAGTTTGGTGAGACCATGGAGCAAGACTTATTCACCATCCTATTCTGGTTTACCATCTGGAGCCTCAGGAGGGGAAAGCAGTGCGCTACCAACACTGTTTATAGTGGGGATGCTGTGTTGCTGACCTCGACTCTGGACCTTGTTGGTCGGTAGGTGGAGTACCTCCTCAAGACTTCCTCAATCCCACCGGCACATCTTCCAGTGAGGAAGTGGATGCTGAGGACTTTGGGTTGGACTCTCCAATCTCTGGTGCTGAGGTCACTGAGGTGGTCAAAAAGCTCCTCTGTAGCAAGTCTCCCTGGATGTTGTAGGGCTGTGTTGGCTGACGTGGCTCTGGAATATCGCGTGGACATCAAAGGCAGTTCCAGTGGATTGGCAGACTGGGATGGCGGTCCCCCTACTTAAAAAGAGGGACTGCAGGGTGTGTTCCAACTACAGGGGATCACATATCTGAGCCTTCCTGGTAAGGTCTTTTCAGGGGTTCTGGAGAGGAGGGTTCTTCAGATTGTTCAACCTCAGATTCAGGAGGAGCAATGTGGTTTTTGTCCTGGCTGTGGAACACTGGACCAGCTCTATACCCCTTAGGGGGTCCTGGAGGGTGCGTGGGAGTTCCCCCAACCAATCCACATGTGTTTTGTGGATTTGGAGAAGGCGTTTGACCGCATCCCTCGGGGGTGGGGTTTGGGGGGGGGGGGGGGGGGGGGGGTTGCTGTGGGGGTACTCGGGGAGTATGGGGTACCAAGCCCTCTGATAAAGGCTATTAGGTCCCTGTATGACCGGTGTCAGAGCTCGGGCCACATTGCCGGCAGTAAGTCGGGCTTGTTTCTGGTGAGAGTTGGACTTCACCAAGGCTGCCGTTTGTCACCGATTCTGTTCATAACTTTTATGGACAGGATTTCTAGGCAAAGCCAAGGTGTTGAGGGGATCCATTTTAATGGCCTAAGGATCAGGGGCCTCATTTATCAAGCTTGCTTACACACAACACGGGGTCGGAAAACTGCATAAGCAACTTTCCAAACAAACTTTGGGATTTATGAAAGAAACCTTAGCGGAAAAATGTGCGCAACTTTAAGTTGACTAAGGACCTGGCTTACGCACATGTTGGACATGGAGAGCACCTGCAGTGCTGCTGCTGAGATTGATACAATTATGAATTCCAGCAGCATAATTACTTGTACTGCTTCGTTTTCACACAGAACAAGACCCCCCACCCCCCACGCACACAGATACTGCATTAGTAACTTGTAACTGCTTTTAATGATTGAGTGTCTTATCATTGCCATTATGTTGTAACTGTTTGTATTTTTGCTGCCTCTTGGCCAGGGCACCCTTGTAAAAGAGGTTCTTAACCTCAATGGGTCTTTATCCTGGTTAAATAAAGGTTAAATAAATAAAACACACACGCACTCACACATGTGCGCGCACACCATAGACTTTACATATACTGGACAAAACGACGGCGCACACACACACACAGCCTGAAGCGCAAAATACGGAATGCAGAATATCACCAGGGGGACAGATTGAGACAGAATGTCATGCGTCTGTGACAGTGTGTGTCCTGTCACTGTGACCCAATTGATCATGCGCCCTGGCTAGTTGAACAAGGGAGATCTTCGTTTAGCTGACTGGTTAGCGTGCGTAACTTTCACTCGGGAGTCTGGGGATTGAATCCCAATTGAACCATTTTTTTTAAATATCCACCACAGATCTCTCTGAAGAATTCACAACATTGACGGCTTCAGCAACGCTGTGCCACTCTGTGGATTTTCTCTTATTTGTTTTGCAAAAGCACTTCCTTTCATTTCTCCACCTCACCCACCGGTACCTCAATTTCTGCTTCTGTAAAATTGTGCTTCCTTGATCTGCCTTGATCTACGGTCGCCATGTCATTGGCGGAGCGCTGCAACAGCCAGCTTATGTGTATGCATGAGATCCACAAGGCACTTTGCATTGACTATTTATGGCAGTAAGTGGGCGTGGTGAGGGCGGGATGTAACTAAAAAGCAACTGAGAAACATTCTCGTTAGTCTCCGATTTATGAAGCGGAGATTGCGTGCAGCTGTGCGTGTACTCCATGTTTGATAGATCACAAACTTACTTGGCATAAGTACATTTTTTTTGCTGAGCTTAAGTACGGTTTTGGTAAGGATTCTACGCAATGTTTGACAAATGAGACCGCTGGTATCTGCTTTTTGCAGATGATGTGATCCTGTTGGCTTCATCAGAACGCGATCTTCTGCTTTCGCTGCAGCAGTTCGGAGCTGAGAGTGAAGCTGCTGGGATGAGAATCAGCTTCTCTAAATTCAAGACCATGGTCTTAAATCAGAAAAGGAAAGAATGCCTTCTCCAGGTCAGAGAATTGGTCCTGCCTCAAGTGAAGGAGTTTAGAGATCAACGGGTTGATTTGGTGCTGTGTCTACCGGTCTGTTGAAGTGAAGAGAGAGCTGAGCCAGAAGGCTGCCTGGGCCTCTAGGCTGCTGTACCCTTGACCAAACCTCGGAAAGCAGAAGGAAATGGATTGATGGATAATAATAATGCACACTTGTATAATGCTTTTCTAAATCAGGGACTCTAAAGTGCTTCACATTACAATAATTTCGTTTATTCTTTCATTTCAGGCATTTAGCATTTACCATCTAGGTGGGAAACCTCATCCAAGATGAGTACATGTGGAAAATCCTCATTGGGTAACTGACTGTCTTCACGCTCTGTGATTGGCCGGTCACATAGAGCGCCCGCCCCTCCCTACACACAAACTCTGCAGCCGGGACCTCTGTCCGGTGTTGGTACAGGATCTGCTCGGGTGCAGGATCGGCTCCGGGTCCTTCGACTGCCGATGACGTCAAAGTAGTTGATTGGCTGAACATGAAGCTTATGGAAGTGACGTTATCACGTTATGATTTTGATTGGTCAGAACAAATTTGCGGTTGTAGTCTTAGCGGTTGTAGTCCTGTAGTCCAAAAATCAACACTTTTTGGAGAAAATATGTTTGAATTTCTAAAGGAAATGTAAAATATAAGCAAGTGATAAACGGTGACCCTCAAAAGCTCTTGGTGTTGATGAAATGGGGCAAAATAAAATATAAGAACTTTACTGAAAGACACCAAGCAATATTTTGAGTCAAAGAATGTATTTAGATAACAACTAAGGAAATATACAGATGAACTCCACATTAATACAAACAGATATGGCTTCACATATAAGAACTGTTCTATTTTTTGTCAGTCTGATGTTGGTTTTATGCAGTTTCACATTCCTTACAAAACAAAGGTAATATGGTGTTTTATTAACAAATTACAATTATATAGAAAACATTTAGGTGTTAAACAAGAATTTATTAACAAAACTGCTGATGTCTTTCAAAAATGTGTGTGTGAAAGCCCAGTAGATTTGCAGTAATGTGACGTCATCGGCAGTCGAAGGACCCCGAGCAGATCCTGTACCGACACCGGCCCATCCACGCACACACACAGACAGTAACGGATCTCTCTGTGCTTGCTTCTCTGTTGCTCACGTTTCTTCAGAACTCCCTAGGTCATCTTCAGCTCACCTCTTCTTCGGTTTAATATATAAAGTGACTTTTTTCGTAACGTACGAGGTGCATTTGACAAGACAGAGCTGAAAACGGCTCGTGCTGCGTCGGTCACTTCCTCCGCTCAGGTTCTCTCTCTCTCTCTCTCTCTCTCTCTCTCTCTCTCTCTCTCTCTCTCTCTCTCTCTCTCACACACACACACACACACACACACACACACACACACACACACACACACACACACACACACACACACACACACACACACCTTAATCAACATTGTTTTGTTTAACTTAGATCGTTAGGAAAAAAAATCAGTGGAATCAAATAAAAAAAAGTTGTGTCTGGTTCTAGTATTTCATATTTCCTAGTTCCTACTGCATGAGTTCAGATGTATTAATTCATGCACTTAAATATTAATGTTCTGATTTTATTGAAAAACTTGTTCTGTAATAGTTCCTTTACTATTGTGATAAAAAATATGTCATCTCAATTCTGAGGCTGCTCTGTAAATAGTTTTCAAATAAACAAATAGAAACTCCTGATCAATCCATATCAATTTCAGACTTAAAATAGTGTATTGATATAAAGCACACCCACTTCCGGTTAAATGACACCCACTTCCGGGTTAGGCCACGCCCACTCCGAGTACAGATGCAAATAATTTAGATGGTTGAACAAATACAGATACAGATAGTGGTGTATTCGCTCATCCCTAAAAGTGAGTGGGGAGAAGAAGACTTCAATCACTATCATTCACACACACACACACACACACGCAACACACACACACACATACATGATCAAGTGTTTGTTGGTAGGAGATGTGTAAGTATTCTTGTTCAACTGGATCGTTTAACTTCAAGGCTTCAGCTTGAAGAGACATTATTGACAGCATGACTTTTATGAGCAGATATTTAATACTAAATAATTAGTTTTTTACTTTCTTAGCCTCCAAGGAACTTGAGGTGTTTGTCTTTAGTTTGATCTCTCAAACTTCTGCCCGA